GCTGTAAGAGACCAAACAGGTAAACAGTACAACATGGTTGAGAGTATAATGGCATGAAGATAGATACCTTTTGAGTCAAAAGTCTCAGGACACCCTTTTATTTCAGAAACAAAAAGATGAAATATCTGAATTCTCCAGCAATGCTAACTTATTTMCAGCACATAAAAACAGAAGCTGACCAAAGTGTTTCACAATTCAGCCAAAAGGATATGGATAAATGAACGGATAAAACAAAGAAACACAGAAATGTTTAAAAACAGTCAAACTGATGTGTTGAGATATTTTCTGATTGCTRGCCTTCTTTGCTACACGACCATCTTTACGTTGGAAAAACTTGGCTTTGATCCAGGCGGCTTTAAAAATGGTGGCCATGTTCCAGACGTAATCTGAAAGATAGACCCTCTCRCACAAATACTCACTGAGGGTTTCAGATGTTTTCATTTTCCCTTTAGTTTCTGAATAAAAGGGTGTCCTGAGACTTTTGACTCAGCCTGTATCATGTCTTGGACTCTCTGAAGGTTTAAGATGATTCATAAAGATTGTTATAAGAGCTCAAAGGTTTCTAACTCACCTGCAGCCACTGACACCAGCTCAAAACTACATTTTAATCTGAATCTTCCTGCTGAGGACCCGTACTGATCTCAGCGCTGAGACGTGCTGCTGTTTGGAGCGAGTAAACCAACGGTTCTGTTCTGCCGTCTCCGAGCTTTAACGGAACCTTGGAGTTTTCTACGTGTCGATCAACACGGTGTTGCTGCTTTCAGCAGATTGGGGTTCTGCGATCGGGGTACTCACAGGAGCTGAGGTGGGTAGACCGGCAGGAAGTGGATCACCGAGGTCTCGGCTGGCTGCTGGTTCTGGTTCTGTTTGCTGCGGCCTGACGGTGAATCGGGTCAGGAGGTTAGCAGGTGAAACTTTCATGGATTTAGCTTTAAGTTTGAGCAGCCTCACCTGTCTCTGGGGTTTTATGGGATTTAAGGCCTCCGCAGAGCGAACAGGACCGGGTCGGCTCTCTGCTGCCCCCTGCTGGTTCTGTCAGGAAGCACAGAGCAGAAACAACAGCTCAGAGACTCATTTCAGTAAACATATTAAT